CCATCTTTTTATTGTGAGCCACATACGCGATTTGATCCGCCGGCCGGCCGTTCTGCCGCCGTCGCCATTTTCGTGTTTCGCGACCGCTCAGGCTCAGGATCGAGCCAGCGAGATTTTGGTGAATTTTCGAGCGATCGGAGGCAAGTGACCGAGGAAGAGCGGACAATCGTATTGTAGGCATTAATTGATAAGGTAACGTTCGTCTCTCTCCGGGTCTCGGGGTATTCATTACGCGTAGCTATCGACCGCCGAATATCGACCGCGTGCGCGAAGGATCGCGAAAAGCGTACGCCGCCCGTGTTGTCGTGTCGTGTCGTTGCCGCGTGGAATATTCCCGTAAATTATCTCAGGGCGATTTTGTGTCTGATTGCGTGGATCTCGTCGTCGATTGTTAAGTGTACGTGTGAGCATCTATTGTATTATATCGCGTTGTGTACGTTAGAGTATTTGTGTCTTTGTCGCGCTTATTACGCCGACGAATAGAGCGTAGTAAGTAATAATTAGTGTCTGTCGAATGTGTCGCGGTGCGAAATAATTGTAAAAGTACGACCGAGAGTGAAATTTGAGCTGCTTGCGCAGAAGAAAGAGGCGAAACGCTGGCTGAGAAAAATTTCCGGCCGCCGTCGGCTATCGAATTTCGAACATGTCGCTCGCCTGTCGTATGCGAGACCCGTCTTCGCAAAACTATTAATTATTTTTGATCTCTGGTTAATTAGGCTGTCGATTTATTAAGTTGTCGTTTAGAATCGCGAACTGGGAAATCGTGAGGAAAAGTTCGTAGCGATAGGTCGTCGATTTGGTTGTCGAAATTACGATGAATTTTGGGTGAATATCATCCGCGAATATTTCCGTGTCAAAAATCTTTTGTATTCTGAAAAGTATCGTTCAGTCCCGCGAACTCCGGCTATAAAAACGGGTTCGGATAAACAACAGGAATGTCTTAGCGCTCTCTTTTCGGTTGTCGATTTCAAGCGAACATTTGCTCTGAATAACGTCTTATTATCCGTGCCATTATTGATTTGATTATATATTTCGTTTGCTCATTTTTCTTTTTCTGAATTTATTGTGAACCGCCGTTTTCAAACTGATCTGTTATTCAAGTTTATTTTTACATTTTTCTTTTATATTATTTCTCTACTAATAAATCTGTTATATTTCTTTGTTAAAATCGCGTAATTTATTTAAGTGTAAGTCTCTCGTGATTGTCGATATCTGTCGTTGCGTCTGTCGCCGAATTAGTGGAGTCTCGCATAATCAATTGACTTTCTTCCAAAACCCCTCCCCTCTACCGTTAGGCGAGCTAGTCGGCCCGTGGCGAAGCAGGCTATTATTTTTCGCGCTCTTTGACGTTTTGTGGAAAACTGATGCGTGAAAGATCGCATCTGGCGCTCAACCTATCGAGTTATCGAAACGGCCTCCGCTCCGCCGCGGCTCGTGCAAGAACGCCCTCCATCCCTGTTCCTCAGAGCGCGAGTACATTAATTTCGCTATTTTTTTGACGGCGTTTTTACTCCCCCGCGCACGCTCCCCTCGAACACCTCGAGGAGTGTGTCGATTAATTTGAATTGAAGAAACGTTGCAATATATATATATATATATATATATATATATATATATATTGTGACGTTGCCGTCCTTTAGAGCGTCCATCCGCCCCGAGATTTTACGGGGCGCAGGCCGAGCGGCCGCGCCAGAATCAACCTCGAGAGAGCGTTATCCAAAAATCCCCGGAGAGACGAGCGCTATCGTTAGTTTGTTAAGATTTTTATTAATTGTATCGAATTTTTGTTTGTCAAAAACGACAACGGGCACCTCGCCGGAGAAGATCCGGAGGACCGGAAGCACATCAAGGAAGATGGTAGCAAGACGCTTAACGACAGCGAACGGAGGAGATAATAGCACTTGAAAGGACGATACCAGGGGAATTCGCCCGCGTCCCAGGGAGGAGGACGGAAGTCCGATTAACGCTACCCTCCGAGGAGGACCAACGACAGCGGAGCCTCCAACGGGCTCTTGTACCGGGGCCCGCGACAGCAATTTAACAATTCAAATCGAATTAATTGCGCGCGAAGCGCTAAAGCGCCGCGGATCTCACGAGGCGCTAGGATCTCTCGCGTGCCGTATCCTGATTGACCGCGGGGCTGCGCACCCCACTAAGCGGTCATTGACGCCGCTATCGACCCCGGGCCGCGAGATCCCAGGATCATTCTGGTGCGGACGCTCGTGACACATAGTCAAAGTATCATTATCGTGTGAGAATTTTCCGTGTCTGTCGCCGCTGCCGAGAGACCGAATCGAGGACGAGGCCGAGGACCATCCCCTGCAGGAGGACGCGTTATCGGTGAGGTTGCCCATCTTTTGTGTAAGCCACGTACGCGACTTCGTCCGCGTGCCGGCCGTTCTGCCGCCGTCGCCATCTTTTTCGTGTTTCGCGACCGCTCGAGCCGTTTGCCGAGACGGTGATATTTCGTGAATTTGTCGGGCAACCGGAGGCAAGCGACCGAGGAAGGACCCTCGCAACGTAGGCGTTAAACTAATAAGGCAACGTTCGTCTCTCTCCGGGTTTCGAGTGTTCTGTACGCGTAGCTATCGACCAGCGAATATCGGCCGCGTGCGCGAAGGATCGCGAAAGCGAATACCGCCCGTGTTGTCGTACCGCTGTTGTCGCCACGTAGAATATTCCGTGACGTATCTCAGGGCGATTTTTGATGTCGAATTGCGTGTGTGTCGTCGTTAATTGTCAAGAGTGCGTATGAGCGTTTTTAATATGTTATTGTAGGGTGAGCGTGAAAGTATTTGCGTCATTGTCGTTGTCTATTACGCCGTTGCATCGAGCGTAATAAAGGATCATAGAATATCTGCGTCTTCGCCACGTTTATTGCGCCGTCGAAGAGCGCGTGATAAACGTTAATTTGTATCTGCCCAGTTGGTCGCGGTGCGAAATAATCGCCCGAATATTGAGAGTAAAATTTGAGCGGTTTGCGCGGAAGAAAGAGGCGAGACATCGGCGGAGAAAATTCTCCGTCTGCCGTCGGCTATCGAAATTTGAGAATACAGTTCGCCTATCGCATACATGATCCGTCTTCGCAAAAGTATTCAGTATTTTCGGTTACTTATGTTGTCGAATTAGTAAGCTGTCGATTTGTTTCGCGAACTAGGAAATTGCGGGGAAAGATCCGTTGCAATAAGTCATCGATCTGGCTACCGAAATTATGCTATCGTTTGAATAATATCCGCGTATATTTTTGTACCGAAAATCCTTAGTATTCCGTAAAGTCTCGCTCAGTCCTGCGAACTCCGGTCATAAAAACGGGCTCGGATAACTAACCGGATTGTATTAGCGCTCTCATTTTCGTTGTCGATTCGAGCAGATACTTGCTCAGAATACCGTCGCAATTTTCGTGCCAGGATTAATTATATTGTCTTTTTCGCTTTCGTATTTCGTTCGAATTTATTGTGGACCGTCGTTTCTCGATTTGTATGATTCGTTCTCGCGTTTCGGGGAATTAATAGCGAACTAATATCTTTGTAAGGAATTGTTAATCTCAGTTCAATTATCGCTTATTATTGTTTACTGAGTCATTGTTCGAAACCGATCCAATTCTTATTATTGATTTGTTAATTATTCACTCGTAGTGTTACTTTATTTTTCTAGTAATAAACTTGTTATCTTTTTTTTGTTCAAATCGCGTAATTTATTCAAGTGTTCGTCTCGCTTGGTTGTCGACTGTCGTTTTGTCTGTCGTCCGTTAATTCCGCGAAGACTCGCATAATCAATTAATTTTCTCTAATAACCCCTCCCCTCTACCGTTAGGCGAGCTAGTCGGCCCGTGGCGAAGCAGGCTATCGTTTTCTTTTAACGTCTTTCAGCTTTTCGCGAAAACTGATGCGTGAAAGACCGCATCTGGCGCCCAGCTTTTCGATATATCGATACGGTCTCCGCTCCGCCGCGGCTCGCGCGAGAACGTCCTCCATCCCTGTTCCTCAGAACGCGAGTATAATAATTTCGTTATTGTTTTTTTGACGGCGTTTTCGCTCCCCCGCGCACGCTCCCATCCAACATCTCGAAGAGTGTCGCGATTCATTTTGAATCTAATTGAAATAAACGTCGCAATATATATATATATATATATATATATATATATACAGGATGAGTCATTTTAATCAATACACTCGAATATCTCGAAAACAGCACTCTTCAGAAAGAAATGTTTCAAACAAAAATTGTAGGGTGTGAAGGGGGACATAAGATGGTAGCATTGGTTTGACTTTGGAAAGTCATTTGAAGGTCACATAAAAGTCACCTTCAATTTCTTAAATTGAACCCACTATTTTTCATTACATATTCTTGTAGCTTATCTCAAGAGCTTTCCAAAACACTACAGACAAATGTTTTTTCATTAAGTACTTTTTGAGTTATAAGGCTTCAAAGTTTGCAGTACTTCGATATAAAATGCAAAATATCTCGTAAAATATTTAGTTTTCGGTAGTCTTACCCTAATACTTTTATGCACAGGATAATGAGACAAAACTATTGGTGCAAAGAAAACGTATGATTGTTTATAATAAAAAATGTGTAATTTGCAATGCACTTTTTGTTTTACCTGGCAATTTCTCTAAACTTCGGGAAAAAAAATTTTTTTTACAAGGCGCATTGAACAAAAAGCTCGAACACGGATCAACTTTTTTTCTATGTAGATTCACCATACCAAAGGAGATCAAAATCGGTGAAAAGTTAACCGCGACCTCTCCTTGTTAGTCGGATCGATTAAGATCGATGAAACAATAAAGTCCAGCATCCTCTTAAGAAAGATTGCAATTTTGAATTATAGTAACTTAAGATGATAATCTTAATGACATATTAAGATAAAATGAAGTTACGCACTTTATGTATAATTATCCTAAACTCCTTTCTGATGCACTTATTAAGTTTTAACTGATCTTTCCTCTTATGATAATTTAAAAAAATGATAAATGCATTAATCTAGCATTTCTTATTAGCTTTACAGGATTAGTAGATGATTCAGATCCATACCAACAACCAGTACCTTTAAAATTATGCCATCAACTGGCAGAAGATGTGAAATGGTTTAAGGTAATCTTCTAATTTTGCTCCTAATATTAAAATAGTGCAAAAATGTTTTTATTATATTTGAAAATAAAATTTAAAATTTTTACAAAATAAGTTTTTTAACATTTTCAAAATATGTATCCAACTTTAAAGTAAGTTACATTTTTAATTTTAATCTATGTCCTATATATTAAAAAAGTTAATTTAGATTTTATATAATTATATAATTTTTATATATACAAAATTCACAAATTAAAATATTATCGTAGAGTTCTCATAAAGTTAAGAAATAAAGATATTTGTGATTTCTTTATCTTAAATAATAATTTTTGAAATCAAGGAATGTAAGTTTTCAATCACAGAATACAATTAGATTTGCCTATTTGTGTATTATATATGCATCATTAATATACTGAAATCTCTTAAAGAATACATTGCAAAAGAGATATATTACATCCCTTTCTTGCACTATTTCACATGCTAAAAGCTATTGCACATACAGAAATTTTTATCATAACTGTAAAGTCGTAAACAAATTATAGTCATGCATTCTCACAAGCTAGTACAAATGTTTGACTATGATTGGTCGATTTGTTTATGGCATTACTATTATGAAAAACTTTTACGTGTAATAGTTTTAAATCACTCCTGGATAACAGATATAATCGTGAGAAAAGGTAAATACTCATACAGCAAGCTGTTTAGAGCTGCGAGTGCAATATTCTCTTTCGCGGCGTAGAAAAAACAAGTTCATGCGATTCTTGCGAGTAACTGTCGTGTGAAACGATATTTTCTATGATTCCAAACGTAATGAGAATAAAGGTAATTTCGTATATTTTTAAAAGTGTAAGGCATATTTTGGTTAAATATATCTTGGCGTTGGACGTGTCGATTTGTCTGTATTCTTAAAAGCTCAATGAACGATACTATAAAAATGCAATGGTGTAATGTACAAAATGATATTGATCCGTATTGCCTCGTACGCTTTCTTCTTGGAGTTAAAAATCTGAAAATTTTAAAAAATTTGAGAGCTTTATACGAACACAGGAAAAAAATAAATAAGATAAATGTCCATACAGGCTCAATCCTAGGACTTTCCGAATAGCTAACAAACACTCTGTTACACTACATAATGCTTTTTATTGGCATATTAGTAATGTTCGTCTATAAACTTCTTGTTGAATTAAAGTTGAATTAAAGAGAATTCGTCTCCCTTTCTATTCTCGCTCTCTTTTCACGTCCTCCATGTATTTCTTTTCTCTTCCATCGTTAAATCTTTCACTCTTACATCCCTCTTACATTCCACTCTTACACCCGTCCTCTTTAACTTTCTCCTCTTTTCAAATATCTCCTCCTTGTTCTTCTCATCCCTCAGCTCTATTAACACAACACCTTTTCTCCTTTCTCTGTCATTCTTCCCATACTCCTAACATCTCTATCTTTCTCTCTAACGCATCCTCCATAATCTCCTCTAATCTTCTCCCTTCCTTTCACTTCTCTCCAAATTCCTTTTCCTTTTATCCCTCTTTTTCGTTTTTCTTCCTCTTTTCCTTTTCTCTCTTCCCTTTTTCTCTTTTTTTTCTTTTCCTCCTTTCTTTTTCCTTGCTTTTTTTCATTCTCTTCCAACTCCCTTTCCGCCTCCCTTCTTTTTTCCATATTTCTTCCATTTCTCATCTCTTCCTTTTTCTCTCCTTCCTATACATCCTTTCCAACCATTTTTTTTCTTCCCACTTTTCCATTTAATTACACTTCTTCTACAACCTTCTCCCTGTCTCTAATCCCCATCTACTATATTCCTTTTTTCCTCTTCTCTTTTCCACATAACTCATTCCTTTCGTCGATGTCCTCTTCACGCCCTACCTCTGTTTCTGTCTTTTCTCCGCTCTCTACATCCTCTTCCTTTATCTTTATCCCATTTTCCTTAACTCTTATCAATTCCTTTCTTTCTTAGCAATTTTAATTTCATCTTCAGCACTCTCAATTCCCTCTTAATTTCTTTCAGTAATTTTCTTTCTGTCCTCTATATTTCCTTCGCCCGCGGTTGCTAATTGTAGTCTTTCTTCTATTTTAATTTTCAACCTATATCCTTCAGCTCTCTTTCTTGTTGTTTTTGCCCTTTACTATTTTAATTCTCTTACACTGTTCCTCTTCTTGTTCTTTTATCTCACACCTATCTTTATCACTCGCCTCTTTTATTTAGAATTTAGACAACTTTACATTTTCCTTTTTGATTCTCCTCAACCATGAATGCAACTCCTCTCACCAATTACTTGCTCCTCTTGTGCTGCCACCAATTCTTTCCATCTGCATTCTTTATCGTAAGCCTTGTATATACCGTTATCTCTCCATTCCTTTCCTTATAAATCATATCTCTTCTATGTCTTTCTCGTTCCTTTCTGTTTCTGCGTCGCCATTTTCTCTTCTATTCTTCTTCACTTTGATTCCTCATAATTTTTTCAAACCATCTATTTTTTTCACAAAATCTTCAATTTTTTTTAAGTAAATACATAAGCGGGGAAGAAGATGTAATAAATATTTAACACGTTCGCGGATAGGACGGCATATGCCGCTCTAGGTCTAAGGTCAAAGCGGCATCTGCCGTCTAAGTTCTAGTGCTTTTGTAAACGCAGGGCATGATACTCCGTCAGCTAATAATGCTTATTCGTATATCACTTATACCAATGTGCTTACAAAAAAATTTGGTTCGTTTTTGCAAACCCTTCCAAATATCCGCGAATGTGTTAATTTATCCTCCACCAATGACTTTGACCTTAACATATATAACATTATAACTGACTCCTAAAAAGTTTTACCCTCCCTCTCCCCCATGAGTGATTCTTCGTTACTTATTGTTTATTAAAAAGTTGAACAAGTATAGTCTATGTTTCGATGTCAGATGTCTCGCCCTGTATAGTGTGTATAATAGGTTAGAACGAAAGAAAAGGAGAGAGCAAGTGAAACAGAAGATCACTGCCGTGATTGGTTACCTACCAAATCCGCGCATATGCAGTTTATTTTTTCACGCTAACATCAAAGATGCCGACAGAGAGTTGCGCTACTATATATACTGTGTCACTGTGCACTATCGCGTATTCGCGCTACATCACTGTCACGTCTTTACGCGTTGTCGAGCAAATGGTCGCTCTTAGTTATGCAGTTCGTCAATAGCGTAATGCTTAGCGCCTGTCAAAAGCGCAATTTATTCAACATTCCTCTTCTTCTTAAGAATGCTATTTTCATTAAGAGCAAGTTCCTCCTAGCGCCTTGTAATCAAGTCCAGTTCGATATATGTAAGTTCAATGTGAAAGACGTTTAGAACAACGAGGAGATGAATTCGAGGGGTTGTGTAGCCCTGTTATTGAGATTCTGTCTCCTCTCTTTCTCTTAGCAAAGTGCCAAATATTGAATCCGTGCTAATTCTTTTCCTGAGGGTAGTAAATCTTCATTAACCATATTGAATTTTCCTTTCCAGTCCTTTTGGACGGTTCCATATTTGATTGAAATATCTAGTAATGGATCTTCCTTCAATACTAACGCGAGCGAGTGCTTTCCCTATCAATTTTTCCTTGAATTGAAACCCAGATAGCACATGGACGTCCACTGAACGTCCATCGAACGTCCGTTTGTGGACATTGGAACGTCCGATGGACGTCCGATTAAAGTCCGCCGGATTTTCGATGGACATCTATTCGAGGTACGTTTGCAACTCCGCACGACGTCCACAGAATGTCCATGCTGGACATCCAATGAACGTTCGATGGACCTTAATTGGACGTCCATCGGACGTTCAAATTTCCACAAACGACCGTCCACAGAAATGTCCGAAACATGTCCCGTGTTTGAAATTTGAATTAATTATAGGTTTTAATATGCTTGGTGTTTATTAAAAATATTTAAAGACGTAAGTTAATTCATAAAATTTAATATATATTTATTAATTAATATATATATATATATATATATATATATATTTATTTATTTATTAACTAATTGAAAAGTCGAATCACAAACAAACTAAACCAAATAGGAACTGGAACATAATATAACATAAAATAAAACATAACATAAAACAGAGGCGTAAAAAATCTCATAGATCTTCCGGTTGCCTTCGAACATTCAATCTTTTTTGTTCCGCATCACACCTCTCTTTCGCCCTTTTCAGCCATTTTTGTATTGCCTCTTCGATATCCTTTTTTGTGAAGGTAGCGTTGACCTTTTCGCCTGCAGCTATATTAGAAAGGTATATATTTACCCACTTAATATCCATTTAAAACAGCACAGTTTTAAAAAAGAAGTATACAAGGATTATAAAAACGTACCGAGTAATAACTGTGATAGCTTTAATGTCCGAAATACACATTTATTCTTTTTTCCCAGCCAACTATATTTAGCAGCTAGTTCATTGGTGAGAATTTGGCTCAAGTTACGTTTCACGAATTCGTAAGCACTCTTTCCTCTAATTTTTGAAGCTTCTAAAACCTGAAAAATTTTCGTCATTATAAAACAGCAGTATGGAATTACGGAATTATGAAATAAATGTGATAGCTATATATATTATTTACCGATGTATCAAAATTTTCATCAATTTTCAAGAAGTCCTCCACCTGCTTCTCCAACTGCCTTTCATTTTGTATAGGAATATTGCAGGAATAAAAAATGGATTGCTGTCTGATATTGCCTACTGTATTATTACCATTTGTATCACGATTCGCAGATTCTCTAATGCATTTTTAATGACTCTTATGTTATCACTTTGTTGCCAAATCTCCGCTTTAAAGAGATGCTATTGCCGTATAATTTCTTTAAAATATGTCACATAATCTGAAACATAAATTATTAAAGTATTTTATATTTTCAAATACTGAATTTGATATCAGCCAAGTATTACTACGGATTATAAGTCTTGTTCTTGATTTCAGTAACTGGTGGTGACATTGATTACATTTTCTTGTATATTTAATAGTATACATGTATTGGAATGTAGCATAACGTTTTATTTATCAGCATCTACTAAAACTTTTGAACTAAATAATACG